AGCATCTACGGTTCAAAGGTTCAACTACACTAATCGTTGCTCATTTAATTAGAATTAAATGAGGAGTTTTAGAATTATACTCATTTAATTAGAATCAAATGAGAAGGAAAGCTGGTAAAAAAACACTAGTGTAGGTAGAATTGGAACACTTTCGACTTTACGATTCTACGATTCGATTTACGATTCTACTACGATTCTACCTAAAAACAAGTTTGCTAAGATCGGAATTGAAATACGGATATGAGATCATAAAATCGTACGATTCTACGATCAAAATCGCGTTTTTAATAACCTGCAAGGAGAAACGACCCTTGTAGAGTTCATAAGGCAAAGCTCTTGGCTACAGTCCTGCTAAAAGCCAACCGTCACATCTATTCCCTATAGATTTTTCCCGCTAATTAACTTAGCTATCGTTGTGAAATATGTATATCAATTTGGTTTAACAGACAATTTTTTTTCTAATTGTTTTTAACGAAGTTGTTGTTTCTGAAATCATAAAATAAATAAATAAAATCAAAGTAATGTGTTTTAAATTTGGATATTGCTATATTGAATTATACCAAGTCTGATTTCGTGTAACCCAAAAAATATGATTGAAATTACATACCAAGTCTGATTTCGTGTAACCCAAAAAATATGATTGAAATTACAGATTTTGAATGCTATTTTATAAATGATCCCTGAAATTATCCAAGTTATTATGAGGACCATTTCCATTTTTATTTGAATAGTTCTAAACCATGTAATTGGTAAGAATGTGGGTTAGAGATATACATGGATCATGATTATCTTATCTGTGTGCTTCTGTTAAACCTATGCTTCAACCATCAATCTCATATGTCAACAATGCAACAATCCAACAACCATTGATCTCTCCCTAAATTAAGCTTTCAAGTTCTCAACATCCTGCCAAACCCATCACTTCCCCAAATCTCGACCACCAATCTCAGCCCTCTATCGTTATACCTCGACATCCAGGTAAAGACAAATTGACCTCGTATCAAAATTAGTTTTATATTTTCATCGCCCTCACGTTGGTTCACTACATCTTTTTTTTTTTATCATGAGTTTTATTAAAAAGAAAATTTTTTAATACTTAAATGTCATAAATTAGGTTATGGTTTTTTTTAAATATGTTTAATTGAATTTTTTAGAGTTAAATATAAAATGTACCAGAATGATATATATGTCGCAATCCTTTATGCATACCACCGAAAATAAAAGTAACCAACTGAAGTTTGGATTAACCAAGATCTCCAACACTACTAGAAAAAATGGTATTAGCGACAGAATTTTAGCGACGGAAAAAATCCGTCGGAAATTACAACGGGTTAACAACGGATTTCCAACGGATTAAGAAAACCCGATTACAAAGATTTTACCAACAGTTTGCTAACGATTTAGCGACAGAATAAA